TCTGAATTTTGGGTAAGAAAAGTGGGGGGCGTCCTATACAGTGGGGGGCGTCTTATAGACGGAAAAATACGGTAAATGCTTTCCTAGTCAGTTTGTCGCCAAAAAGAGTGTCCCCATTGGAAGTTTCCCCCTGTATTCCTCTTCTGGTAACAACTGAACATATCAAATATTTTCATTTACTTTACCAAAATCTAAATGCAAATCTTTATACTAAGGTGTGACATACATCACAAATGGGTTAAACAGCTATGAATTAAATTTGTTAGTGAGGCCCAAGTGCATAGAGCAATGAAGAGCAATAACGTTGTACAGTAAACCTCTGAAGAAATCAGATGTTATCCTTTATTAATATTTAAGAGAATGAAAGCTGAATACTGAAATGACAGTATATCTAAAGTCTTTTTTTTTGGATAGAGGTTTTTCTTGATTCACCTTCTTTATTTGTCTCGAGGATCATTGTCAACTGGGAATTTGGGAAAGTGAGAGAAAATCTCATATTTCATCTCTAGATATTGCTGTCCACCATACACTAGCATTTAAAGGGAAGTCTGGCTGTACCTTGAATATCTGGATACATCATCATATACAGTAGAGTCCACTCCAGACTGGAAGATGTAGTTTCTGTCCCGGCAACAAAGAGATCTACCATACACGTAAACAGATTTTCATCATCAAAGGATGACTTGTAACCATCTTGCTTCTCCTGTGTGGAAAACAGAGAAATATTACAAGTGCACAAGGAGATTGCCTTCTGTGGAGGAGTTTTTCATATGGTGGATCGTGATATTGGTTAGTGGCCTGTGGTCTAGAGATAATCTGTCACATTATCTTCCTATGCTCATCTAACCAAAAAGGATCAAAGAGTGAGGTCTCAGATTCAAGTAATGACTATGAAGTTTCTGTACAGAGTTGGGAGTGTAAACATATCGCTGCATAAGTAAATTCTTCACATTGCTCTCCAGAAATTGTAGCAGGCCATAATGTCCTAAGGCAGGAAAGATTACACCTGTATCATAGCACTCTAATTTCACCTTAATATATTATCTTTCAGCACTGGGAGATCTGTTTTCTTTGCTGTTGGCAAGAGCTCATGGTGCTGATAATGATTCAATCAGCACCATGATCACTATTATCACACTAACCCTCCTTGTAGCCCTAAAAATAACACTCACTGTAACCCTCACACTAACCCTCACAATTACTTTTCCTGTAACCCTAACCGTAACTCTTCCTGTAACCCGAGCACTAGACATGTGCGATTCGTTTCGTTCCGAATCGAAATTCGGACGAATTTTCGTAAATTTGGACATTCGGATGTATCCGAATTCCGAATTACAGACATAACGAATGCAAACGAATCCGAATTTCCATTTCCGAAATTTGGGTAGCGTTTCGTTTTCTGTTCTTATTCGTTTCTTATTCGTTTCGTTCGTTGGAGCAAAGTGACATTAGAGAAGGAGAAAAATATTTTTTCCCCCTCAAATGTCACTTTTGCTGCAAACGAATAAGAAACGAATAAGAAACGAATAAGAACAGAAAACGAAACGAACGTTCGTACTAACGCTACCGAATTTCGTCCGAATCCGAATTCCGAATCCGAATTCACTTTCACACCCGAATCCTGAAAAACGAAATAACACAAATCCGAATTTAAAACGAAACGAAACGATTTTTTTGGCAGTGCACATGTCTACCGAGCACTAATTCTTACAATAGCACTCCCTGTAACCCTATTTTTACTATTCCCTGCAACCCTAACACTAACCCTCCATGTAACCTTGATTCTAACCCTCCCTGCAACCGTCGCTGTAACCTCACACTAACCACCCTAGCCACCCTAACACAACCGCTCCCTGTAACCCTGACACTAACCATCCCTGTAATTCTGGTAATAACCGTCCCTATAACCTTGTCTGTAACCCTAACATTACCCCCTGTATCCCTAAACTAACCTTTCCTGTAAACCTTACTCTTTAACCCTAAGCCTAACCTTACTTGTAATCCTCACAGTAACCCACCCTCTAACTCCAACGATACCCTTCCACATCTCTAAGGAACATGGATGCCATTTGTCTATTGGCTGAGATCTGGATGAGAGATGTAGCTCCTATCCAGAGTTCAGTCTGTGATTGAATGATAAATGAAGGGGGAATAGTCTTAAGTCTTTGCATACTCTTAGCCTAACAGGTTCTGATGAAGGTGCCATGGCCCCTGAAAGTGTCAGAAGAATAGAAGTGCATTTCATGAGGGCAAGGCGCTCTGCTCCTGTTTGTGTTTAGCCAACTAATACACAACAGATTGTCAGTTTGATGTCATATGATAATCAATTACCGTACCTTATCCAGTTCTTCTAAATAACAGTCAATGTAGTCTCGGGGTTGTCTGGGCACTCTGGTTGTTTTGTGTTCTTCTAGAACGTTCCTGAGAAATCCAAAAACTATTTTTACATTTCTAAATATTTTCTGATGTGGTAGAGGAAGATGTCTGACAAATCCAAATGCATTAAAAAGCTGAAAGAAAAGAATGCAGGAATTGTTTATTAAAAGGAAAAATATTTAACCACATAGCCCAGTTAAAAAGTAATGATACTTTTAAAACAAATGATCTCTTTTAATAAATCCAGAAACACCAAGCAATTGTTCAAAATAATTATGTCCCTGTACTTTACAGGCTGCTGTCACTGGCCCTGACCAGTGTAAACATTGCTTACGCCATGGCTCACAAGGACCTTGGCATAGCTCAAAGCTGTCCCTCATTTGCAGGGACTGTCTGTCTTAGACTCCTATACAAAATGTATTAAACTAGCAAAATAATTTTTTTGCTTATTATTCCCAGTCCATGGAGCTTGGGGTATGGTAGGAGTGAGTCCTTTGCGTACAAACTTTGTGCAAAGAGGTGTACTTATTTCTCATTTCAGAAAGTTGGGTGGTATGCATTGGCCTCTGATCTGACTACTTACTTTAGACTTTACAACTTCTACTTTATTTTTACTGGATAAAGTTGTTAGTTCAATGCCCAATTCCCAACCCGGAAGAAAAAGGTACCCTTCCTTTTTTTCTGTTATCTCCATAGATCTTCCAATTATGAGTGGCCCTACTAATAACCATTGTATAGCTGATATAACTTTCAAAGTCATTTTGACACAATGCCTCAAAGACACAATGGAAGCCCACCACTAAATTACAGAACTACACACTTTATATTTCTTTCGAGAAGAGTGTAGACATTGCTTTCTTTAAATTAAACAGTCTGCAGTAAGCAAGCATTGATCTACAAAACAGCATAGAGAGCAGGCATTCCACATACATGTTTGAATAATTTCTTTAAGAAGCCATAAATAAATATTTTTAGGTTGCAGGAACTCATGTAATCCCAAAACAAAGAGACAGCAGCTAATGGAAGAAGGCAGTCCCTGGATGAGTTTAGATAAGTCCGGCTCATCTCCCCATTACTTTTGAGACCACCCAGCCATCTAGGGAAAGCCAAATGCACATATACAAGGACTCCTGATGTCTTCCTTGATGTTCTCAGTCCCGCTCTGCTCTGCGCTTTACTACAGTGCTTCAGGGTTTACTATAGATAGTTGAGCCTGAAATAAAGTCATATTTAAACTGGCCTACGCCTGTGATTTATTTATTACAGGTATTTATAAAGCGCCGACACTTTACATAGTTGCACATTCACATCAGTCGTCCCTGCCCTCAAGGAGCTTACAATCTAAGGTCCCTATCCCACATGCATACATACGAGGGCCAATTTAGACAGGAGCCAAATAACCTTCCAGCATGTCTTTGGAGTGTGGGAGGAAACCGGAGAACCTGGAAGAAAACATGCAAACTCTTTGCAGATAGTGATCTGGCTGGGATTCAATCCAGGGACCCCCAGTGCTGCAAGGAAGATGTACTAACCACTACGCCACTGTGCTGCCCTGTGATAGCAGATCTCACAGCACAGGGACAGAAAATCAGATGTAAGAAGTTGTATTTGTAATGTTTCTTTGCTTATATACAATGTTTACTGTATATACAGTATGTTAATAGAGATAATGAGTTTTAAAAGTAGTTATTATTTAACACACAATCTGCATTTATTCATGCAATTTTCTGATATTGTGACTGGAAGGCCAATAAAATATTTTCCATATGCATGGTGTTACACACAGTAAACATTTTACCGTATATACAACATGCTGTAAAAAAAATCTATATGTCTCAAAAACTTTCAATTTCTTACTGAGAGGGCTACTGAGGTTTCAGAGGGAGAGTTTTAGTAAAAGATGGATAAAAACACAAAATTAAACTCTCAGCTGTCAAGTTTGTGACCACTCAATCAAACTAGGTGTCTTTTGGTCAAACGATCTGACATATAATGTCATATGCTAATCAGGATACAAAGCATCTAAAGGGTAGCCCAGGAAAATATAGTAAAAAATGATATAAAATATTATGTAGAAAGAAATTCCAATGCTGCTAGTCCATATGAAGAAAAATAGGGAGCTTCAGTGAAGGAAACTAGAAACAAAGGGGAAAAAAGGACACAGCACAAAATGTATTGAAATTAAAGCAGTGAGTATTGCACTCACAAGTGGCTGTGACAGAGAAGTAGTAGAAACAACCACCTCTATTCACTGGGAGATAATCACATCTTAGCTGGTGCCGACAGCCAGGTTCGGATTTACTCTCTTTGCTGCCCCAAGACCAGATTACTCAATGCTCCCCCCTACCTGCCAGCCCCTCCCAATGGAGAAAGGCAGACCTGCAGGCTGCATACAAGTGATCTCTGCCTCATTACATGTACAAAACAAGCAGCTGCTTTCCCGCTGTACATTTAGCCCTGCTTGCCCAAAGCAGGGCTAAATGTAGAAAACAACTACCCGCCCGGCGGCCGGAACTTCATGTCCCAGGCGTCGTGAGATAAGAATTCCACACCCCTGCTGCCCCTCTACTTTCTGCTGTTCCCCCTAGGCCGGGCCTTGGTTGGCCTTGTGGGAAATCCGGCCCGGCCGACAATGGTAGATGGATAATTAGAAGTGGCTCACTGTGTGTTATCAGGGAAGAAAGAAATTGCTGGCTCCTTGCCTCGCCCTGGCGGCCGGGGAGAAGGCTTCCGGCGTCCAAAGGCGCGTGATGGTGCCGGTTTTCTGGGTCGCAGCGGACCGGCGGTACTTCTGTTTCCTCCCTATGCTTTAGGGATGAGATGGCTGATCGAGGCGTACTTCGAGAAGATGGGTAACTGCAAGATTGCTCGGGGTGAGAGACGGAGCTCTGGCTAGGCACGTCTACTCGCCGCCATGCGCAAACCACGCCCCCCTCCGAAACATGTTTTACGGAGGTTCTTCCCTTCATCAGCCTTCATCAGGCTTGGGCATTTAGCTATTTGTTTTTATGCATTCTTATTACATCTGGATATGGCATACACGTAAGGAGTGAGGGGTATTTTGTGGCATTATAAAAAACACTTTTTGTTAGCACATTTGGGATATGCTAGAACTTCTGTCAGCTTTGTTTTTGCTCTCTCTGTCCCCTTTAGATACTTCCCCTCACTTACTGCAACAGTGGCAATGTTGTCACTAGGACAGAAAGTTAAAGAAAGTCTCCCCAGCAAAACATATACAGGAATAAAAGATGACAGAGTTTCTAACACTTCCCTATTCTATAAAAAACAATCCATTGTCTAGAGAACGTTAAAGCAAATTCTAAAGCAGTACAAAACTAGAAATCTGCATTTTAAATGCAACGTGTTCCTGAATGTACCTCCTGAATGTTATTGCAGGTACTGACACATGCAGCCTCTCTCAGCCAGGGTTCCTCATGAGGTTGCTAGGGTTCTTTGACCAGTGAGTAATGTTGACTTGATCTCCCACCTTGTAAAGATCGCGGCTTGCGCTCCACAGGGGACCGCAGCCGCAAGCAGGAAATGAATCGCCGATGCGTTCCAGCTTGGAACGCATCGGGCCGCCCAGCGTCACCAGCACCTCCCCTTTCCAATCCTCATAAAAAGCAGGAAGCCAGGTCAGTATGGCGTTCTATTATTCGTCTGTGAACGCCAGCTGACAGCCTGCTCCCTGTTGTGTGGACCCAGAACCCCGGAGAACCTGGAACCTTCTCTGATATAACACTGCAAAAACAGCAAGTATACGTTCTCTGTGAATGTAACAGAGAACTCTACTACTGATAGCCGAGATCTTCACTATTGCTACGAACTTGCAAGGATTGCCTATTTCTCATTGATTGGACTCTCACTCCCTCTAGGGGAGAAACCTCTGAACTGCGATTACTTATGTATGCTTATGAAAGTCTACCCATTGTATGCTAGGAATACCCTGAGTACATAGCTTGCTGAAACTAACTGCTATTAAGGATTACTTTCATATCATTGGGACTCTCGCTCCAAATAGGAGAAGTACCACTGAATTTACAAATCTGCAGATTTATGCTTTATACGAGTTAAACATTGTATGCTGAAAATACTCTAATTGAACTGTGATAAACCCTTGCTAATTGCGGCACATGATGGTAGGGTTCCAAACTCTCCACTTAAGACTTTGAGAGTGACGCCTGGAACCCGACCCTGAAGCCGTACCCTTGGGAACAACCCTATATGTGTATAGCCTCCGCAGCTGAGATTCTTACTATTGCCACGGCATTACACACCTACACTTACCAGCAAGGAAAAGGAGACATTTTCCTCTAAACACTTTACAATAATGTAAACTTATACACTTGCTACAAATGTAGGGGATCACAACAATTTTAACCGTCTGTGTTTCTGTCCTGTTATTATTCATTTCATTTCAAGATTATTACTGAAAATAATGTTGTATAGAGAGGAGGATGTTAAAAAATATCTGCCCTCAGTTTAAAATACATTAGATATGCTACATTCAGAAATAGCCGCACTCCAAGGGTCTTCACCGAAAATAAAAATCTTTATTTATGACACATTTCACTATTCTGCCTTACTATGAGTAGCCTGGAATGGTGAAACATGTTAAAGGTTGGGTACGTGTGTGACAATTAAATATTGTCCAAAGGAAAAAACTACCTGAGCCCAAAATCCAGTTGCCATCTTCATGTGCTCATGGACAAGGTTAAGAATATTTCTGAATGTTGGATCATCATAGTCATAACGCCTCCCAAATACGATGGCACAGATGATGTTGGACACAGCATTGTCAAGGACAAGGTGCGGGTCATACAGAGTATCTGAAAACATCAAAAATGGTCAGTAAGCAGTTGGAAACACTTAATTTCAACAGTCTTCATATATGTAATGTGTCAGATGTATAAACCTGGAATAAACTAACATTTAGCCAAACTGGAGTCCACTGCCAGAAGGATGATATTGGTATGACATTGCCTTTGCCTAACCGTGAAACCATGAGAGAGACTACTAGACAAAATGTGGATAGGCCATATTTCATGTTAAACATCATATTCTTTGAAATGGATTTTGTGCACAAATCACATAGCTTCTCTTTTCACCTTTTAAAAGAATCATAGTGTAAATCGCAGTATAAAGATGCTTATAGTGATAAAGCTTCACATAATGCTTTGGGATGAGTCTACTAAGCAGATTTCGAATACGCGACTAAATCCTAAACTATAAACAAATTAGTCCCATAAGCCAAACTCCAGGAATAAAATGATCATTTACACACCACACTGGGTGTTTAAATTATCATTAAAAAGCTGAGTGTTATGTGTAGAGGGCTACTGCAAAGTATTAAAATCTTACCTTGCAGCATGCCATCTCCTACATCACACATAACACCCAGCTTCTGGGCACTCTGCAGGGTGAGAGATGCGACTTGAGCAATTAAGTGCCCTGTTCACATCCCCCGTCCCTCTGCTAGAATACACATAACTGTGTTTATAGCAATAATTACTGCAGTATACAATTTCGGTCATTAGATGGCAGTGTTTATAAGTTCTGTTATATATCTATGGTATATTCTCTGTTGTATTGAATAAGGTAGAGAATAAAGCTGTGACTTCCTTACTGTTTTAGCCAAGAGGTTTCAACACCCTCCCCACTCCTTGATCATTCACAAAATGCCTTGTATTTTTTCCCCAAAGAATACAAGGCATTCTGTGATTGGAGGGACAGAGATTATATAAAATCCCTACCCCCTCTTCTGCTCATCGAATCACTGAACACCTTATATTTGAAAGAATACGAGGCATTTTGTGAATGGCCAAGTAGTATGGAGGGGAGAGTGATGCAATCAGAACACTTTACTGCTCAAGTTGCCATTTTGTTATATTGTAATATGAAAATGTTCACATTCAATATGAAAATGCTGCAAATGTTAAAAACAGCACATACGTGAAAGATCTATTTCAGAACTCGTGCATGCCTCGCCATATGTGAATATTAGTAGTGTTTTAGGAAGGCTATTGTAGGTTTTGTTTCTTTTTGTCCTAATTTCATCAGTTTTATTTTGCCATGAGAATGTAAAGGAGAAGGTGCCGTCGAAGGGCCAGAGCTAGAGCTTCAGGGAAAGAGAAAGCTGCTAGAGAGCGAGTGACTCATCTCAGCATCTCCTAAAGCTTCTTTCGTTCCACCACTAAATGAAGGCTGTACAGAGGCGATCAAACTTTACAACAATTGAAAAGTAAGCACAAGTAGTAAATATTGTGCTTTTGGTGCCCATGCATAAATGTTTTATACTGAATACAATCCGCCATACCTTTATTTTTCTTCATTTCCTTAATCAGAAATTTACTCTCTTCACAAATTCTCTCCTCCATGGACTTCTTTCCCAGGCCAAAATTGCGCAGTGTTGATAGGGTGAAACGCCTGTGCTCCTTCCATGATCGGCCATAGGCAGCAAGAACCAAACCTAAGAGAAAAACAATGAGAGAGATACAGTGCAGTGGAGGAAATATGTTGTAACATTAGTTTTTGTAACATTAGTTAATATAAGTGCTTGACCTTAAAATACTCCTGTATGCATAGGTAAGTCAAGTGTGAATTTATGCAACTATACAGTAATATGTTGTAGAGAGTATTCCATTTTTTTTAGCATACTTGGAGATTGGGAGGCCTATCATTGCTGGAATCTTCTTCTGCAAATTCTATTTTCCTGGTTGCCATCTGAGTCAAAAGCTTCAATGACCCAGAACGAGTATGCAGATCAGGGGATCTGGCTTTAACCATTGAGTTCAATACATTTCTGGGTCTTTGGCATCATCTGTATTCCTCTTAGCACAGGTTTTCTTTAACGATATAATACATGTTCCTACATTAGCAACTATACTAGTTGTTGGCTTATTTAAGTTTGTTTTATTTTAAACGGCACCTATAAAATACAAAATAATTTCTAGAGCCATAGACCTGCGCATGTGCCAACAATTAGCCAAACAAGCTACCGTTTGGTCTATCTGTAGTGCCCACATTCCTATGTTAAAAGGCCATCCCTGCCCCAACATTCCCTCATGTTAGGGCCCCCTGGTATAAGCACAGGCTGAACAAGCAACATGCCCACTCCTGCATCAAAGAAGGTGTTTCCTGTGCCAGGCAACATTCACAATATAATTTCCTAATATAACATATATGTTAGATGATTCTTCAATGCCATTCTTACCTCTGCCACCAGAAACAAGTTGAATGAGTCTGTTCTGAGGTCTGTCTGCAAAATCAACACCTTTATTTACTAGAATTTCTTTGAGATCTTTGAGTCCACGAACCACCACAGCCGGGGTGAACCCCAGGTAGATGCTAAACACTGGTCCGTACACCTTGGAGAACTGACACAGAATCAATTGTTATGTTGTTTGCAAAGCGTAGTGGGATAAAATCATTAAAATCACAAATCAATTCACTGGCCATTTAAAAAAATTTTTATTGCATACATTGGAGAACTGTTGAAATGCTGCTGCAGTCACTTGTCAGACACGTTGCTGTAACCTTTCTTTATTTATTAGAAACAACAGGAACACAGCTAGGAAATTTAGAAAAAATTTAAAATGTAAAATTTAGAAAAAAAATTAAAATGTAAAATTTAGAAAAAAATTTAAAATGTAGAAAAAAGATGTTAATCTGCGCTGATAGATAATTAATTAAAATTATGGGAAAATAAAGCTGCCACAATAAAAACAGTATGTCCTAAAAGTGAAAATAATGAATTTGCGGCGCTAAATTCCCATTACAATGTATTAACTAAATAACATGTACAATGATAGAGATTTGTGAAAGATAGGTGTGCTTAAAAACCTTATAAATACAAAGCGGCCGGCAACTCGTGAGCCTCTGTGCTCACTTCCGCATTCCTTCGTGACCCTGTGACGTAGAATAGGCCCGCCCCGACACGTTTCATCACCTCTGACCTTTTCAAGGGGATAGCAGGTCCTGGTGCGTTTCATCACCTCTGACATTTTCAAGGGGATAGCAGGTCCTGGTGCGTTTCATCACCTCTGACATTTTCAAGGGGATAGCAGGTCCTGCTATCCCCTTGAAAACGTCAGAGGTGACAAAATGTGTCGGGGCGGGCCTATTCTAAAAAACAGTTAATAAAAATCACTGGGTTAAAAAATAAAAATGAAAAAATACTCTTTAAGGTCTCCAGCAAAGAGATTTTGCCCTGGAGAGCTCAGCTTGGTCATTACTCTGCATTTAGCGAATGTTTACTTGCAATGGGATCATGCCTTCTGCTCAATTCTCAGTTTATTCCTTTTAGCAAAGTATGTTCTTTGAAACGAGCAGATGTAACATGACAAGAACACAGCAATCTGGCAGGAGGATGAAGGTAACACAGAGGTATGGCTTCTAAAAACATGACAATCATGTCACAGCAGGCTCTAATGCACGGTCATGGCAACAAACAGGTTATCGTGTTCATATACCCTGCACTGATAAAACTGGTCTTACTGAAAATGTTGCAACACCCAGCAACCTTTTCACATTGTGTTACACAGAAAATAAAGCACACCTTTAAGTGATTACACAGAAATGTCAGCATTGAGTGTCTGGCTGTTTTTTTTTTTTCTGCACCTGAAATAAATCCATTTATAGTCTCCGAGGGTTGTGTTGTGGTAGCACATATAACCATCCGTTTTATAAATCAAACCAGCTATGGTTAACCAGGTGCCTACTGAGCTTCCTACTCAGCTTTGGATAATGTATCTGTCCTGCCAGCCAACAGTCAGGTTCCAACTGTAGGATTTCCAGTGGTGGTTAGAAATTAAAAGGGGGAAACTGTTTAACACCCATCAAGTTTTTATTGCTGTCTCTTATTTAATTCGGAATATTACTGTCTGTAATGCCAAGGCTAGACATGAGAGGAGGGGAATCATCATCAGGAGACGAAGGCACACAGAATAGAAACCTGACATGTTCTTCCCCAATCTACTCAATAGGTGTTATTGGTTCTGTCTCTGTCCTAAATGGAGCTATTTCCCATCATTTCTTGGCCAATTTAAGACAGTGTTGCACCCAGGGAAAACATCTTACAGTTGGCCCTCCACCTTGCTACTTCCTTCATGTCTGGTCACTGGGGGGGTCAGAGACTAGAGAGTTGGCAGTCCCAAGTGCAAGTTAAAGTTATCTTAAATCCCTTTTCCTGCAGCAATCAATGGAGACCTAATCTCAGTTTAGGAGATTCGCACATTCTGAAGGAAGATCTGAAGTAGCCTACTTACTGAAGCCTAAATATCTCCCGTTCATACCTGAAACAGGAGAAAGTCAGGCAGACAGGCTGACACACACCCTGTACCTTACCGATCACAGTATATTCATTTCATAGCATCCTAGTTGTCAGCTTCTGTTTTTTCTTATTTTTATTGTATTTGTCCAGCAAAAGTAAACATCTCATCCAAATGGCCAACTGGACATGATAGATTGACCTATTGCCTGGGCAACATGTACAGTACTTCAGGAGCCTCAAAAGCAGGAGATGCAGCTGTGCAGACAATAGCCTTGGTAATGGCAATGCCAATAACAATACATCTATTACAAAGACAAGATAAGGGAAAAAATAAGGGACTAATGTGCCTCAGCACAGCAGCTATCCTGGAAAGGAGAATAGCTAGCTGAAAGGAAGCCAATCTTTTTTCATTACTCATGGTTCCTCTGGAGTCAGCTTTCCCTACTGCAGATAAAGGATAAATACATAACCACAATGATTCCAAATCCCTATTTGAGACATTTCTGTTGGGCAATCATGTGGAGTTCTCAACCACATATCGGGGAAATAGTAACAGAGCACATGACAATATGAGCTTAGTGGATAAGATCTTTTGGAATGTGATGGTGCTGTTCATAAAAGACAATGAGGGGAATTTATCAAAACTGGAGCAGACAAAAACTGGAGCATGGCAACCAATCAGCTTCTATCTTTCATTTTCAAATCTTAACTGAACAAACTGAAGGGAGAAGCTGATTGGTCACCATGCACAGCTGCTCCAGTTTTTGTCTGCTCCAGTATTGATAAATTCCTCAATCACTTTCCAGCTGTCAATTTTCAAGAACAGGTTTATCAATGAATACAACATTTATTTTGGTGCTACTAGCAACATTTGCCTTCCACAGCTTTCATACATGTGACCTAGGGGCATATTTATTAAGCAATGATGAATCAGTTTCCTGTTGAATGCCTATTGGGTTGTTTTCTATAGTCTAAAGTACGTTTGCTTACAGCGTGTTTGCTGGATTGTGCCTCAATAGGAAATCTGCATCTCAGTAAGGGTCGGATTTACATTAGACATTTCCTGTATGAGTACTGGCCACACATTTTAATTGTGCCATCAGTAGAGATAGTCATCTCATATAAGGTTATGTACACATTATAACAATATTCTAAGTCCAGCTAAGAGCAGTAAAACAAAGAAATGTCCTGATGTGATCCTAACAGAGAGGTGTTGCTTAGGACCTAAAGTTTGCGTTCCTGTAGTCTCCAATTCTGTAACTACGGCCTGTAAATTACAGCCAATGGTCCCAATCTGCTTTTGACATTCACTGTGGAGAAGATAAATCTTTTTATCAATGACTAGCCTATTGATCCCTCCAGAGGACTTTCTACCCTTATGTATATATTGGCGCACATTGGACTTTCTGCAAATGTTTGTTGTAGCCAGTGAATGACTGGCATATGTAAGTGAATCTAGGCAGGAAAATATCCCTTACCTAGAACAAGCTTACAAATATGGATGTCTGACAGATATGAATACTTGTTCCATGCCAGTGACACAAACCTTAATGAACCCAGTTTGCCAGAGTACTGCCACAGATGACTATCATCTTCAGAATTGACAATGCCAACCCTCTCGGGAAAGCTTTGCCTTTAATATACCCCCTGGCATTTTTTTTTATAAGGACCCCACATGAAATGAAGTTAAACTGCATTCAGTAAATGTTTCTGTATCCATGATTAACATCCTTGGCATTTGTTACTGTAGATATTGACAACTGGTACTAAATCAAAAAAAGTCAGATGAGAAGAAGAAAGGAGGATAGTGAAAAAGTCATTTGCAGATTGGTCAACTGCACATCCAATCAGACACTAGAGTATTCTGGTGGGTTGAACTAGTATACTTTCCCTCCTCTCTGCACCAGGGTAATATCTGATTCTCGATATTTAAAGTTCTGGATTTAAGCAACTGAAACATCTAAACACAAGATGTGTGGTGGCATGCTCACCGCTTTTAAATCCTTAAGGGGGTTGGAGAAATCCATCTGTAGCATGTTCCCTAGGACAGGCAATGCTTTAGGGCCAGGTGGGAAACCCTGTGGGCGAGACAACTTCCATCGCAGTAACAAAAGAAGAGCAAAGCCCACCAGCAGCAGGGTGATAATATCCATAGCAGCTATTCGGTGTTCTGGCTGTGAACGTGGATTCCTGCATACTATATACTGTATAGCCTGAGTACTGCTCCTCCCTGACATGAAGATGTGATAACGCCTGGTATTAGGTTACACAATGCCGACTTATGGAAAGCATTTTTTTCATACCTTTACTCAAGAATAAAGGCTTGGTTCAGCATTAAGTGTTGCATAGTTTTCTTTAAAATATCAAAGTCAATGAACATGTGCTATACATGCTATTAGATGAAACAGTACTTTCTTATACTTATGAGGATAGCAAAGATGTCCCTTTGTTGACAACTCTGGATCAGCAGCACACTATTGTAACTGGAGATATGCACATACCCTGTCCATGACTCAGCAGTGCCTGTGCAGACAACACAGCTCAGCTCTATATTACCCATAGAAATGTCCCTCTGCTTCCATGCTTGGCTCATCAGGTCTTCTTCAAATAACACTTATCCTCATTCCCAGGTCAGGTCCACATTGTCCCTGGAAATGTCTGTGTTTCCATCTCAGACTCAGCAGTACCTCTACTTATCCCTATTCCCAGCTCAAGCATACGTTGTCCCTGGAAATGTCTCTGTGCTTCTATCCCTGACTCAGCAGTACCGCTATAGATAATGCTTTACACTATTCCCAGCTCAGGTACGCAGTGTCCCTGGAAATATGTCTCTGCTTCAATCCCTGATTTTGAAAATATTACTTTCCTTATACCAGCTACAGGAATGCAGTGTTCATAAAGATAGCATTCCCTGTAAGGTTGCCACCTTTTCTTCAAATGAAACCCGAACACTCTGTAGCCACAAGTGGCAATTTTTTTAAAGAGAATATATAGGAGAGAGCGAGGATAGGCAGCCAGGGAAGGGAGTAAAGAGACTAGCTATAGAAATCCCAGCAATAAACTATGCAGCATACAAAATAATATGAAGCTACATACTCTGTGTTTTTACGAGGTGGCGCCCTGATGTTTCCATGGTCTCAAGTGGCCTGTGTGGGCTCTCACCAGGGTTTTGCGGGCTCTCAGGAGGATGTGCGGGCTCTCAGGTGGGCTGTGCAGGCTCTCAGGTGGGCTGTGCGGACTCTCAAGTGGGCTGTGCGGGCTCTCAGGAGGGTGTGCTGACTCTCAGGTGGGCTATGTGGGCTCTCAGGTGGGCTATGTGGGCTCTCAGGTGAACTCTGCGGGCTCTCAGGTGGGTTGTTCAGGCTCTCAGATGGGCTTTGCGGACTCTCAGGTAGGCTATGCACACACTCAGGTGGGCTATGTGGACTCTCAGGTGGGCTATGCGGACTCTCTGTTGGGCTGTGCGCACTCTCAAGTAGGCTGTGTGGACTGGAACTCTGGCACATGTGATTAGGAAAATGTGATAATGCACATCATCTCGGGAGGAAAAAGCCTTTCCCCGAGATCTTGTGTGATTACAGATGAGATTTCTTAGCAATGCTCTGCTGATGTAACCTTCCCAGGATGCAATGCTTGAACACATTACGTCATTTGTGCCACAACTGGACCAGGAAGTAGATGAAGTCTATTTGTAAGTAAATGAAAAACAAGTTTGTTTAACTAATGAATGTAAGATGATTTTAAATCAGCGTGCAGAGCTGCATGCTGGTGTGATTTTTAGTGAAAGGGGGTAAAGGTTCACTCTAAAGAGCTATACCAGCCAAATAATCTTTAGCATCTGACACGCGTCAGGGAGTGTTGGTTCCACCTGCCAGCACTATGGCCCCTATGGCACTACTGTGTCCTATGAAATAACAGAGGATGGAATCACAGTGAGTAGCTAGATTCTTCAGCCATCTTTGCTCTTTAAATGAAGATCCAAGACACAGTTGGCAGGACAGGTTCTGTTGTCATTAGAACATAATTATGCTACTGCTAATTGTGCAGAATAATCATACATCTTCTGTAATGCTGCCTGTGGCCAGCAGGAGGAACCCTTCTACCAGCTCATGCCTTCTATATTTATTTCTTTAACCACCTTAGTATTGGAGAATGTTTTACATTTTTTGCACAAACATGCTAAAATCTGAATTTTTGGATAGAAAATAACTTTAAACCCCTAAACAATTATATATTTTCTAAAAGCAGAGGCCCTGTAAAATAAAAAAAAATGATAGCTGCATTTTTTTAATGTTGCACGATATTTGCGCAAATGTTTATCAGTCGATATTTTTAGGGAAAAAAACTAAGAGGGTTATTCACAAAGCTTGCCGAAGGATCAGCCGTAGCTCCAGCTGATCCTTCGGCTAGCTTCGGCAGCCAGAGCCCTTCGGTTCAGTATAGTAGCCCTTCACTATAGCACGTACAGCTCCCGAAGCTGGCAGGGCGGCTCAGCCTCAGTGAGCTTGATTGCCTGTGTAACTGGCACTTCAGCCAGCTTCTGACATCTCTGAAGCAGGAAGAGCTGTGAGCACGTTTTTGAATAAGGATTTCTTTGGCATAATGTGTATGGCCGGGTGTGAGTGCACCAGTGAATAGCTAGAAGGATAGATAGATAGATAGATAGATAGATAGATAGATAGATAGATAGATAGATAGATAGATAGATAGACATGTGGCTCCCAGCATTGGCCATGTTTGCATGAACCTTACATGAAGGTATATTGCTCAGTTAAAACGGAAGTCTAGGGTCACGTGTAAAACACCCAGATGCTCCTCTTTTCCCTTGTTAGGTATCAAAAATGAATGTTGTTGTTACTTTACTCCATTTCTCATATATTTTATTTTTTAGACCCTGTGAAATCATCACAGGTATTGCAAAGTTTTCACAGCAGTGTTGGCTGGTTGGAGGGGCAGACAGGGTGCCCTATGTGTCCATCATCTGGCTAAGGCACATCCTGCCAATCTACTCCCACTATCCTTCAGCCAATAGTTGAGTGATGGGCTGGCTCTTGGGAGTTGCTTAAAGTCCATGTCCACCTTTGTAAGTTATTAGCATTTATTGTGGTAATGTAGAGGTGCAATGATGATGTACACGTGTGAACATTTTCATGACTCATGTTGCAGGCTTTCTTAATTTTTTTATGAAGGTTTTATTAGGCCTGAAGCCTAAAAATTCAAAATTTGCTCCACAGGAAAATCAGTCAGACACCAGGGTGTCAGACTGTAATCAGCTCTCCCCTCCCTGTCACCCATTGTAACAAGATCAGTAAACACCAGCTCTGCCTTTGCACACAATACACTGTCCAGGAAGGGGGGGGGGCTGGTGGGGGATTTTCCACATTTCTGGCAGAGGCAGAAATTTCCATGAGAATATGAAGAGGAAAGCTAACATGTGTTGTAATAACCCAAGGCACAAAGTGGACACCAGCCTGCACACTAAAATTAGCTGTTTTAATGTAAGGGGGGGGGGGGGGGGGGTGTGAAAAAGGTCAAC